TAATTATAGTAAACTATTTTAAAAGCCTAACAGTGTTGAAGCTTGTAGGTTTAATAGCACGAAGATTAAGACCAGGTATCTGTTTGGAGTCAAATGGTCTATAACAATTATTGCAATGAAGCACATAAAGAACATTTTGTCCATAGGGCTGCAGGTCAGACTCCAAACTGATGGCACACTTATCAAAATTTTCACCTTTGTGATACCATTACAGGGTAGTGTGCAGGAGCAACTGCAAAGGAGCTGCCTTCTGTGGATCTCCAGTAAGTCTAAGATGATTTATGATGATGTTTGGGTGGAAGCTAGTGTGACCTTGGTATAGGACACTGAATGAGCTATGTGTTTCAGAGAGGCAAATTTGGGTGGCACCAAAATGGTGATAATAGCTTCCTTACCATTCAGAAACAGAGAACCCGGAAAAAGCATTGAGGAGTTACATTGCCACAGGCACAAGAAGGTGAATTTTCATCGTATCAAACTTTGTCTTGTATTATTAATGTTCAGCTAAGGCAGCTGGAGGAGGGAGGTCCACCAGGCAGTCCTTTCATCCGGTGAGGTTTTACAAGACAGCTTAGAAATTGCATTCTGAATACTGTGAAGACTTGCTCTGTCCTAGGGAGTACATTCCGATCTTGTAGCTGCTATCCAAAAGGACAATATGTTTCCAAGGTCATTAGTTTACTAAACTACAGGAAGCTGGCTGGTGACAGCAAGCCTTAGTAAGCGTAGTCAGAGCTGGTAAAGAAGTTTTCTATTTGATGAGCTGTTCTATTTTGACATAATTACTGCTTATCAACAGATACCATAATTAAGATTACGTTTATGTCTCGGAGGTCATGGAAGTCACAGAATCAGTAACTTCCATTGACCTCTGTGACATTTCTGCCCCGGGGGGCTTGAGCTCCCAGCCGGCCTTCCCCCGCAGCTCCCAGTCCCCACCCTGGTGGGGGGACCCTGCAGCTGCCCAGCAAGTGGCAGGCGGTGGGGGGACTCTTGCAGCTGCTTAGCTGCAGACGGGGGGACCCCCCCGAGCTCCCAGCCGCCATGGGCAATGGGGACCCTGGAGCCCTCACTCGCTGCAGGTGGTGGGGAACTCCCCAGAACTCCCTGCTGCCGCGGTGGGTCGTGCACCCCTAGAGCTGCTCAGCCCCCATGCTGGGGGGATCCCAGAGCTCCCACTCATTGCATTGGCAGGAGGCCCCGGAGCCCCAGCAGCAGTGAGTGCTGAACCCACCTCACCATTTTGTCAGGGATATTTTTAGTGAAAGTCAGGGAGTGGGCATGGGCTTCCACGGATTTTTGTTTATTGCCTGTGACCTGTACTAAAAATGACTTTTACTAAAAATATTGGTGACAAAAGTCTAACCATACTTATTTCCTATTTCATAGATTCATAGATTCCACCAGCAAGGACCACTGTGATTATCTAGTTTCAGAGTAGCAGCCGTGTTAGTCTGTATTCGCAAAAAGAAAAGGAGTACTTGTGGCACCTTAGAGACTAACCAATTTATTTGAGCATAAGCTTTCGTGAGCTACAGCTCACTTAATCGGATGCATAAAGTGGAAAGTACAGTGAGGAGATTTTATATACACACAGACCATGAAAAAATACACATTGTAAGGAGAGTGATCACTTAAGATGAGCTATTACTAGCAGGAGAGTGGGGTGGGGGGAGAGAAAACCTTTTGAAGCGATAATCAAGGTGGGCCATTTCCAGTGCATTTCCAGGAGTTAACAAGAATGTCTGAGGAACAGTGGGGGGAGGGGGGAGGAATAAACAAGGAGAAATAGTTTTACTTAGTATAATAACTCAACCACTCCCAGTCTCTATTCAAGCCTAAGTTAATTGTATCCAATTTGCAAATTAATTCCAGTTCAGCAGTCTCTCGTTGGAGTCTGTTTTCAAAGTTTTTTTGTTGAAGGATAGTCACTTTCAGATCAGAAATCGAGTGACCAGAGAGATTGAAGTGTTCTCCGACTGGTTTATGAAAGTTATAATTCTTGACATCTGATCTGTGTCCATTTATTCTTTTACGTAGAGACTGTTCAGTTTGCCCAATGTACATGGCAGAGGGGCATTGCTGGCACATGATGGCATATATCACATTGGTAGAGGTTCGTTCACCTGCACATCTGTCTGTGTGTATATAAAATCTCCTCACTGTACTTTCCACTTTATGCATCCGATGAAGTGAGCTATAGCTCATGAAAGCTTATGCTCAAATAAATTGGTTAGTCTCTAAGGTTCCACAAGTACTCCTTTTCTTTTTGTGATTATCTAGTCTGATTGCTGTATAACAAAGGCCATAGAACTTCCCCCAGATAATTTATTTTGAACTAGAGCATGTTTTAAAAAGACTTCCAGTCTTGATTTAAAAATTGCCAGTGATGGAGAATCCACCATGATCCTTGGTAAACTGTCCAATGGTTAATTACTCTCACTGTAAAAAAGGATGCCTTATTTCTAGTCAGAATTTGTCTAGCTTCAACTTCCTGCCATTGGATCTTGTTAGATCTTTGTCTCCTAAATTGAAGAGCCCATTATCAAATATTTGTTCCCCATGTAGGTACTTATAATACAGACTATGTTCAAGCTATCCCTTAACCTTCTCTTCATTAAGCAAATTGAGCTCCTTGAGTCTCTCTCGATAAGGCATGTTTTCTAATCCTTTAATCATTCTTGTGGTTCTCTCTGAACCGTCTCCAATTTATCAACATCCCTTTTGAATTGTGGACATCACAGAACTGGATACAGTATTCCAGCAGTGGTCAGATCAGTGCCAAATACAGAGGTAAATAACCTCTCTGCTCCTACTCACAGATTCACAGAAGCCAGCCAGCTAGCAAGCTGAGCAGGTTGCTGCCTAAGCTAGACAGTAGAAAATTCCAAGGAGAAGGCCCTGGCCTATACCCTGATCCTCAAGGGGAATTAAGCATCCAACTCCAGGCTCTAATGCTCACTATTATTTTTTTGTTTCTTCATCTTCCTTTTCCTCTTAAAGACTTTCTCTTCCTCCAGATTAATTACTTTCCTTTCTTGCCCTTTCCTCAGTGGCTTGTTATAAGGATAAAATTGGCATGACAACTTGCAGATGTTTTTTTGGTTTTTTTTTGGCTTGTAGTGTTTACAGGTCTCTTGGGAAATTGATAGGGATCTATGAAATCCTCATCACTTTAGTATCTGAGCTCCCAGTTTGTTTTTCATCTCCTTTCTATGAAGCATCGGGGACGGTCATGGCTGGAGATGGGACATTGGACAGGGGGGACTAGGCCTCTGAGGGGACACCGAGCATTCTCTCTCTCTAGTACTTGGCTGGTTGGTTCTTGCTCATGTGTTCAGGGTCTAACTGATTGCCATATATGGGGTGGAGAAGGAATTTTCCCCCAGGTCAGACTGGCCTTCCTCTGCAGCGTGTGAGTGTGGATCATTTTGCTGCCATTGCTGTTGCCTTGGGCACTGGTGCACCATGGTCTCTCCTGTTCTCTGGCTGTGGCACATATAGTCTATAATACTATATGTATAATATAGTATTATAGTATAAAATTATCTATAGTACTTCGTATAATTTCAGTTTAATGTGTGGGTGCTGGGTGGGGGTGGTAGCAAGGTCAGACTAGATGATCTGGCGGTTCCTTCTAGCCTTAAATTCTGTGGCTCTAAAAGTCATCAGTGATCTCCAGCTGCTTCTCCTCCGGCAAAATTATGGACAAACTAATGGTCTTGTAGCATGTTCTGAAGACTATGCTGTTGCTCGTGCTTACCATAGTAGTGCTAGTCTTGCAATATTTGGCATTTTTCTTGAAGCCTCTGCTGCCGTAATCATCAGATTATGTGTAGATCTCCACTTTTTTTTTTTTTTTTTAAAGCAAGTTTCTGGCCCTTGTGTTTGTGAAGAAAAGATTGAAAACGTGAACCTTAGAGGCAAATAAAAAGCTGCCCAAACTTATTTTTTAAAATAAAATCTTGTGATATTTGTCATCAGATGTTTGGCTGCGTGTGTGCTGTCCCAGCTCTGCGCAGATAGCTGGCACAGCAGATCTTGAGCGAGCTGCCCAATGATCACAAAATCCGTTAAGGTGCGAAGGCGTTTGGTCAGGTATATTGTCAGCAAAGCACGGTCCTAGCTCCCCGGATCTGTGTCTACAGTTACACAAGCACATGTATGCCCGTGACAGTCAGGGGCGGGACTTTCCACTGCCCTCTCGGCTGGACAAGGACGCTTCCTCTGAGATACATCTTTACACACCAATACAAACAAGTTACGTATCGCCCTCTGACGTATCAGGGTGCCACCCACTGCCTTGTACCTGAAGGTTCAATCAAAACATCTCTATTCATCATGCTGTCATCCTGACCTTATCCTTAAGATGGGTCAGCGTGTTCTTGTTATCATTGGGGAATGTGTTTATTGGGGTGTTCTGGTACCACCCTTCTGCAATATGCTTGTGCCTCGCACCTCTTAGGGGTATGTGTTTTTGCAATATCAGCCCTGTGCTCCGTGCCAAATTCTGTGAGCAGGGCCTGCCTCTTGCTCACAACCTGACTTTGCTTTATATCAGCAAAGTTTCGACCACTTTAGTTCAGGCCTCTGCTACAAGGGCTTATGTGTCAGGTGCTCTTCCTACTACAACAGTTATGCCAGGCTCAGGCTTTGGACGGGGGTGGTGGTGTCTGGCGGGATTTCCGAGCGCTTGGGCCGACTATAGTGGAGCGTGGTGATGGATTCACGGGAGGGCCAGCGGTGGGATCCCAGCAGACGTCCCTGTGGATGCAAGGGGAGGGTCCCGTTGCCCCTGCTGACCCCTGTGGTTTAAACTGGCTGTGCCTCTGTGACAGGGAGGTATCCCCCTTCTCCCTCAATCGCTGGCCCCACCCTGGTCGGGCCCCGCCACAGGCCTGCCGGGGAGCAGAGCGCAGCCGCAGCACGAACTACATCTCCCAGCAACCGCCGGGGCGGGGGGCCGGAAGTCTGCTCGCGCGCGCGCGCGGGCGCGCCGGTTGCTGTGCCGGGAGGCGAGCGCGGGTCGGGAGCGGGCCCTGCCTGTGGCGGGCACCATGGCGCTGGCCGAGCCGCGCTGGCCGGAGAACCTCTCCCTGCTGAAAGTAAGTGGGAGGGAGGCTCCCCGGGGCTTCAGTCCCGGCGCTGCGCTGGGGGAGCTCGCTGGAGCCGCGGATCCCAGCTGTGTGGGCTGGGACCGAGCCCCTGCACTCCCCCCTCCTCTTCCCCCCCCCGACATGGGGGTAGAGGGACAGTGAGAGCGGGGGGAGGCCTGGGGCCTGCCCAGTGAGAGCTGGGGGGCGGGGCCTGGGGGAAAGGCACTCAGGGGGGCGCCCGTTGATGCTTATTGGGGGTGGTAATAGACTTATGGTCCAAAGAGCCTTATAAGTCAGAGTGGAGTCCTTAAAATCCTGAAGGAAGAGAGTGGTTCTCCAGAGCTGGCCAAGTGTCAGGGCTGGCATTTTGATTCATGGGGGGCTCCCAAGAGTGACGTTGGGGATCTCTGAAGTATAGAGGATTGTAGCTGGCCTTAGAGTGGAATTTACCGTTCCCACCCCCCAAAAACTTTTAGATGGCAGAGCTTTCAACAAGACCCATGTCCCTATTTTTCCGAGGGAGGGAGCTGGATGGGGAGAGTTTGTCAGGAGGAATATCCGATAATATTGAATTACTAGTAAAGCTCCCATTTGGGAAGGGTCTTCTGCAAGAACTGCCTTTCCCTTCCCCCTTTTCACTCTTGAGCTCTAGCAGGAGTGCCAAAGATTAAATATACACACTGGAACTGATTTTGGAAGCTGTTCTATGTTCAGTTTGTTTATTGAATTTGTGTTCAGCAAGCCGAATAGCTATGTGACCGTTTGCATTTGTGTTTACATTTAGTGTAACAGCTCTTGATGTAAAGCAACTGTTAAACGCATCCCCAAGAGATGTGAGGGATTTTTGGTTTTCATCTATGGGGTTTAGGAAACTGCTGGACAAGAATTTCTGAGATTGAAAGCGTGTAGATATTTCTTATATCATACATATAGTCAGACGAAGAGCTCTTGAAGGGTGTCTTCAAATGACATTAACTTTATTTTTCCCATTTCAGGCAGTGGATGATTTGTTGCGTTGTGGGATATGCTTTGATTACTTCGATATTGCAATGATCATACCACAGTGTTCACATACCTGTAAGTACAGGAGTATTTTTATGGGTCTGTGTACATATCCCTTACTAGTGTCTGACTCTCATTCCATCCTGTCATCTCTTCTATTAGATCTTAGGGTATGTCTATACAGCAGTGTAAGCCCAGGCTCGAGCCTAACCCCCTCTTGCATCCACACACGAATTGTGTTAACCTAGGGCTTGAACCTACAGTCTCAGGACCCTGCAGGGCTGGAGGGTCCAGGCCCGTGTTAAGCTGACACCTGCATAATGGCATAGAGAGTACACTTATAAAGTTTTTGGCTGATAGCAAGCTTTGAAGGGGTTGCAAGAGCTTTGGAGGATAGGATTAAAATTCAAAATGATCTGGACAAGCTGGAGAAATGGTCTGAAGAAAATAGGATGAAATTCAATAAGGACAAATGCAAAGTTCTCCACTTAGGAAGGAACTATCAATTGGACACATACAAAATGGGAAATGACTGCCTAGGAAGGAGTATTGTGGAAAGGGATTTGGGGGTCATAGTGGATCGCAAGCTAAATATGAGTCAACAGAGTAATACTGTTGCAAAAAAAGCAAACATCGTTTTGGGATGTATTAGCAGGAGGGTTGTAAGCAAGACACAAGTAGTAATTTTTCCGCTCTACTTCGTGCTGATTAGGCCTCAACTGTGTATTGTGTCCAGTTCTGGGCACCACATTATAGGAAAGATGTGTACAAATTGGAGAAAGTCCAGAGATGAGCAACAAAAATGATAACAGTCTGGAAAAAAAGAATTGCATTAGTTTAGTCTGGAGAGGAGAAACTGTGGGGTGATATAACAGTTTTCAAGTACTTAATAGGTTGATAAAAGGAGGAGGGAGGTAAATTGTTGTCTTTAACCTTTGATGGTAGGACAAGAAGCAATGGGCTTAAATTGCAGCAAGGGCGGTTTAGGTTGGACATTAGGAAAAACTTCCTAACTGTCAGGGTGGTTAAGCACGGGAATAAATTGCCTATAGAGGTTGTAGAATCTCTGTCATTGGAGATTTTTAAGGGTCAGTTAGACAAACACCTGTCAGGAATGGTCTAGAAGATAATACGTAGTCCTGCTTTGAGTGTAGGGGGCTGGACTAGAAGACCTCTTGAGGTCCCTTCCAGTCCTATGATTCTAGGATCTGAGCCTTGTCACTTTCCTGTTTGCATGTGGCCCCGGTTTGACTTGGGTCCCAGAAGTCCTCTGGATGTATCCCAGAGTTCATTGGGGCAACTTCCTTAGTTTTCTCTATGCGGACAGTCTGTGATGCAGTCTATTGGACTGTATTGCAAATGGAAGCCACACTTCCCTTTGCAAAGGGCAGCAGCTCAGATAAGCTTTAACTTGTTGTTTCCTGAACACTGGTCTGCAAGCACACTATCAGAGAGCCTGCAGGGTTTTTAGGGGAGACTGATCAGAAGAAGCTTTTCGCAGAGGGAGCTGGTCAGCCAGATTTTAGTGCACGCTGCCCAGGTGCCCCTGCACACACAGCCTCAGGGAGGGCAGGAGAGGCCAGAGAGCAGAGTGTGGACCAAGTGGCTGCCCTGCAGGAAGAGGGAGCATCAGAGCTCCTGGCTCAGCTAGGCTGGGGGAAGGGATGACCCCACAACACCGTGGCCACACCTCCTTCTTGCAGGGCAGCTGCTTGGTCCCCGCTCTACTCTCTGATCCACTCCTGCCCTCCCTGGGGCTGTGTGGGCAGGGGCATCTGGGCAGCGCACACTGTCAGGGCGGCAAGTGGTAGAACACTGTAAATCTGCTTTATATTCATCGCTGCAGATATCCGTGGACCATGTTTGTGGATCTGATGCGGATAAAGATTTTCTATCTGCGCAGGGCTCTAGCGAGGGGAGCCAGCCCCAAAACCACCTCGTAGCCTCCTGTGGCAGTGACTCTGGCTACTCCTCAGAGCTTGCCCAGAGCAGAGAGCAAAGCTGACAGGTGGGAGGTGGCTCCCAGCTGCCAGGATGTTGGGGGTTATCTCTCCCCTGGCTGTACTGATCCAGGACCTCTGCAACTCTGCCTCCATTCAGGGCAGCCTCGTTGTCCCACTCTGCCCTTTGTCTCTTGCTTCTGGGGCTCCCCTGCCCTTCCTGGGGCTGCGTGTGCAGAGATGCCTGGGCAGCATTCACTGTGAGGGCAGTGAATGGGAGCCAGTCCCAAAACTTCACCACATGCTCCCGGGGACCCCTTATCCCTGCCTCCAGCAGTATAGCAGGGATAACGGATTCCCAGGGTGTGTGAACTGGAGTACGTTGCACCCCAGGACCTGGGGATGCACTTCACTGCTTCACAGCTTGCAGCAGCCACGCTGTGTGTGGCGTGTGGTTTTTCTTCTGAAACCTACACTTTGTCAACCTTCAAAACAAACAGACAACAATAAATAAATAACCAAACAAACAAAAATACCTTCATTGAACATCCTATTTTAAAAATTAAGAATCACAAAGTTTCATTTTAATAGTTTCTCAGCCCTGGACAGGGATGTCCTAATTATCCTCAGAACAGGTGCACATGGGGATTTTTCTGCCAGTGTGACTCAGCCTAGAGGTGGAGAGCCCCATTCTCAAACTACATGGTAGTTCAGTATAAAGCCTTCTCAAACTACCTACCAAAGGAGCTCATTGTGCAGTTTGTGTTACTGAAGGGACTCAGGTGCCCATAAGGAGCACCATCAGAGTTAGGAAACAGGGTGGGCAGTAGAGCTTTCTCACTTTGCAACACGTTCGTAGGGCTAGAGCATCAATGCTGGTTTGAGGGGGAGGAGAGGCACTAGGCACTCTGGGACAGGGTTACTTTGACTCAGGTCTGTGCACTGCAGTGTGGACGCCAGAGTTATAGGTTTGAGCACGGGTCAGAAAATCCTTAACCTAGGGTTAAAATGCAGTATAAACATGCAAGCCCAGTGTTCTCTGACCCAGTTTAGCTGACTTGAGTCCTACTAACCCTGGGCTTACATTGCTGGTTAGACATGCCCTTAGTGTTTGTGTGCATATAGGTGAACCTTTTTACTTCTTTTGCTTTTTACAACAAGCTTATGCCTACTGTCCTGTGACTAACATTCTAGGTTAGTAAAGGTCATATAAAAGACTTAGACTCAGCGATTACAATGAGCAGTTACAGAACTTGATTCTGTAGCCATGCTCTGTACAGGAGTTCTATTCACTTGAATTAACAGGAGTTCTACATGTGGAGTGACTGCAGAATCAGGCCCTATGTGAGTGAACCTCTGTGTGGTACATCAACAGATGGAGGCTAAAGTTATGCAGATTCCTTTCCTGCCACCCCTCTTTGGCCTTATAGAATTTATTGCCTAGAGCTGTATTAAATTTTCCATGCATCTCTCCACTCTGTCCCAGGGCATACAGGAACAACAGTAGCATAACTTAGGTTGACTTACAGCTTTAGTGTAGACTAGCCCTTAGGAAGGTATATTGCAGAAGCAGTTTGACGTAGGTGTGCTTGTGACTGCTGGAGACAGAGAGGTACAGGAAATTTAATTGGAATGATAAGAAAATGCATGCTAAAATTATCTTTAATAATTGTTTGTTATTGCTTGATGTGTTCTTCCAGCTGTTATTAGACAGCTGAATGCTCAAAGCAATCTGTGAATAACTTGGGATGCAGAGCGTGATGCTTCTGACAGACTTTTCCTTAAAAATAGAGTTGTTCCAAGAGGAAGTGCAATTATAATATTATTGGAAAGTTTAATCAACTCTACTTAGGTGTAATGAAAGCCATATCCATGAGTTAAAACTAGGACAGAACATTTACTTGAAGTAGACTAGTAGGGAATAAAAACCTATCAGCAGAGAACTTAATCAAATCTATTAATTTACAGAACAGTAACACTGAGCACACATATGCTTATGGAGCTTTACATTCTCAAAGCACTTAAAAACACCCCTGTGAGGGAGGTCTTATCTCCATTTTACTGAATGGAGAAATTGAGGCAGAGAAGTGAAGTGCTTTGCCCATATCCACTCACTGAGTCATTGTCAGAACTGGGATTGGAATTTAGGAATTCCTAGGCCCTTCTTACTCCGTTAGTCTGGAGAAGCCCTTCTGGAAGGCTCAATTGTGCAAGATGCTGAGCATCCTCAACTCCCACTGAAGTAAACTTTCAACTTTGGTTGAGGGCACTAAGCACATTGCAGGATCAAGCCCTTACCCCCTTTAATCGTTTCTTAGCAGGAGGATAAAAATAATGGCTATTTGAAGGCTCTCTTAAGTTAATGAGAGTTACTGAATTGACTTCAGCGAACTTTGGACAAGGTCCTAAAAGATAGGAGCATGCAACCTGTGTTAAATCTTCACCGTGATTTTACTCCATATACTGGATGGGGGTTGAATTTTGTGGTTCTAGGAAGTGTAGTTATTTCAAACTTGAAGGTTAGCTCAGTAAACCTTGCTATTTTAACAATAGTAGTTGATGTTGCTTTGGGGTATATTTGCTAAATATTTTTTTTTAAATGGACACACAGACTGAGATCAAATGCTGAAATATGTTGGTAAACGTTCCATTAAAATAGAATAGTATTCTTTATTGAATGTTTCTCTTTTTATGTATGACTATAATTACTGTAGTTCACATTTTGCTAGGTTTTTTTAAAAAAAATAATATAGTTACTCAACAATGTGTGTTCATCTTAGCTTAGTACACTCTGATTATATGGTATGTAACTTGTTTTTTCAGATTGTTCCCTTTGTATACGAAAATTTCTGTCTTACAAAACTCAGTGTCCAACATGTTGTGTGGTAAGTGTTTTTGTTTTGTTTTTTCTTTTTTTATATATTGTTTTGGGCAAATCTTCAGTATTAAGACCTTTTCATCTTTGGGTCTAATCAAATATGTCATTTTAAGATATACAGAACTGCTTCTTATAGTGTTCTCCTCTGCTGGTATTTTCAAACGTGAGGTCCTCAAGTTGAGCACCTAAAATTCATATCTAGTCAGCTACCATAAATAAGTGTCATGATTTTTTTCAGAGGTGCTGAATATTAATTGAAGTCATTTAAATCTTTGGCACCTAAATAAGTGGTCTAATACAGATTTAGGCACTCGTAGGCACCTGAATGCCCCGAAGGGACAATTAATTTTCATCAACCTTTGATCATTCCATGGTGCACGTTACTGGTCTTTTAAAGAGACACTATCAGGTTGAATTTGATCCAGAATTTAGGATTAGTAAAAATAAGCTTTTATAGAAACTATAGCCAATAGAAATGGCTTTTGATTGATTCTTCCCTCCCCCCTCCCATATTTTAAATTGAGGAGTACATGTTATTTGGGGGTGGCTGGTGATGGAATGTTTAGATACAAAAATCACTTCTGAGTATACTCAATGAGAGCATTTTCTAACATTTACAGTTCTGATTAAGTAAGTCCTGTCGATGCTGCTGCTCCACTTTGCATAGTGGAGATTAAGTGTACTCCTATGTGTCTATTGTGTAGAATACGTAGTTTAATATATTTGCTACTCATATTGTAAAATGTGTTCCATACAACACATCAGATATGTAGTGCAGCTCTTCTGGGGTGGGAGATGGCAGTATACTATACAGCAGAGGGGTGACTGATGTTGGCCATGGATACTGGAGTAAATCCCTTCTGTTCTGAAAAACGCTGTGAGGACCAGTTATACCCCTGCAGTACAGGCAGGACTGACTTATTAAGATCTTCTATGAAAGACTTTCACTTAATAAAGTGCATGGAAGACCATTCATCTTTGGCTTTAAGCCAGTTGGGTTTTACTGGATGTTTTTAAATGGTAGGCTGCTTAAACACAACAAACAATGTTTCAAAAGTACTGGCAAAATATAGGTGATTTTCCTTGCATATTCCTAAAGCATAAGTCTGTTCAAGGCCAGAATTCAGAAAGGTCTATTTGTAATATATTATCAGTTTTTTGACGTTTAAAAAAGTGCAGACTTCTCGGTATATATTTGTGGACTGCACATTTTATATCCATCCTTCTACCTTCTTAAAAATTGATATGAGTAAGAGCAAATGGTAACACAGGAGAAAAATTAAAATAGAGAGGAAGGTTCTTTTAAAAGAATATGTATGCAGAAAACTACCCAATAATCTGTATCTTTTATTCCACCATTATTCAGACTATGACATTGTCCTTTGTTTACTCCTTCTTGCTTAATGTTTGCATCTCATTCTTAGGAGCCTACTTTTGTCTTCCAAAATAATTGGAGCTAGGGTACAATAAAGCATTGTTGGAAACTAGTGTTCATGGGGTTGGTCTTAAAACAAAGTATTGTTTTTTTTATCTATACTTCTGGATATTACCTAACATTTTCAAGACTCACTTATTTCACGGTCTTAGATGGTTTTCAGTAGAAGATATTTGTACTTAATTTTTATGGAACTTTTTTGACATAACAATTTTGAGGGGTAATGGTTTTATGGGTGGTGTCTGAAACACACATCTGAGAAGTAAATTATGTGTGTTTGAACACTGTCTGTTTACTTCTGTTCTTTTGTAGGCAGTCACGGAACCTGACCTGAAAAATAACCGGATATTAGATGAGCTGGTAAAAAACTTTAATTCTGCAAGGTACAACAGAATTTTACAAATATTATGCATGTTTCCATGGTTAGAAATATAGATATCACTTGACTCCTTTAGTTCAGATTGCACGCCATAGTGTGTGTGGTTTGAGTTAGAAACCCAGGCCCATGTGTCATAATGCAACCAAAGAGAATAAACTAGTGAAAATTTTCACATCCGTGTCTCATATAGTAGAGGAATTGATTAATGGGTGTATGTGGGCAGATTCATGTTTAATTTGTAACCTAAATGCCACAAGGATGGACTAATTTTAGGAAAAAAGGGCCTGATTGTAAAGTGCATTTTGCATACTTAATTATAGATGAAGTCAATGGAATCTTATATGGGCAGAAGATGTCTCTAATGGTTTATTACAGGTTTTTATAAGGAACCCATCATTGTGATAGCTGTGCACATAATCTGGTTTTAAAAAAAATAAAAGTCGGGAGGAAGGGGTATTTAGCTCTTCCATTTTTACAAATTATGTAGCTTCATTCTGTTCAGCCAAATAGACCAGCTTTGTCATTCTGACTTGAGGCAGATGACCATTTTGAGAACTTGTTCGCCGTTTATGAAGAAATACTGGAAAAAATCACACTCCTGGGCTGTGTGATAATCTTTGTGAAAGATACTAGGTGCTGGAATGTGTTTACATTGTAGTGCACCAATACAAATAAATTAATATAAATAGAGATACATTTACTTCTACCTTTTTGTACCTGTATTCTTTGCACTTCTATTGCCTGATCCAGTGTCTACTGAAGTCTATGGGAGCCTTTGCATGGATTTCAGTAGGCTTTGGACCTGGCCCTTCGTACTTCGTAGTGGTGCCCTCTATACAAGTTAGTAAGATAGTTGGTAGCAGTGTTACAGCTGCTTTATGGTGCTTCAAAGATGTTTGTAATTAATTTTATACTCAAGTTTACTCTGACCTGTGACCTCCCTCCTAGTCAGGTTTGCTTGAAGCCGATAGCAGTACTGGAAGTCAGAACTGATAATTGTATCCTCCACATGTTGCATTGGACAATAACAAATTGAGTGTTGGGTATGCCTGGAATTTCTGTTAAATAGTGAGACCTGCAAACAGACATACTCTGTAGCATGTACTATACTAGAAAAGCGACTCTGTTTATGTAAATGAATGGTCTTTAGCTGAAAATGACTGGAAGAAAGTCATAACTGCAGTAGAAATACTAAACTAGATATGTTGTGTGCTAGAGTTACAGTATAAAGTTTGCTAGTGTGATTCTAAAATGATAATTATCTATAAAATTGTAAACATGACACAATCCTATGAAAATCTGAGAGTGAAGTCCATTTTCCTATTGGATGCTGTACTAGTCTTTAACTACTAAGGTAAGTTCAGTGGAATAAACAGAATACTATTTCAGATTCTTTTGGAAACGTTAATAAATGAGTTAATCCTTTTCAATTGCATTATAAATCATGAACCTCAGGCTTTTCCTAACAGCTAGTGATCTGCTAAATGAAAGAGGAGAAAGCCAAAGCCATAAATAACCGTGCAATACTGAGATTCCTTACAACCAGCCATTAACAAAGAAAATGTAATAGAGAACCTGGCAGTGAGGCAGAGCAGGTTCTGGAAAATTTCCTGTAACTCACTAGTCCTGCTGCTGTTGCCAGCCAGCGTAGTCTGCCACCTTGGAAGGCCTTTAAGCTCCTGTTGCTACTGATTTCCCATAAGACCCTTCAGAGTCATAAACTCATGTTGGGAGCCAGCGTACAGGGACAAAGGGAAAAGCAGTGTCAGAGTGCACAAGGTACTTCCTCTGTGAAAGAGATGTTGCCAAATCCATTTTAGGGTTATAGTGACTATTGTTTTATTAAAAGGTGCTGATGAAAGTTGGACAACTTCTTTGCTAGTTGTGAGAATGAACTGTGTTAGCATTGATCTGCTTGTCTTCCAATTCCTAAATGTAATTTCTTTAGTGGGTGATTCATGCTTATTTGCCTGAGTGGTTCCACTGAACTTCTGACCTCCCTGTACAGCGTAAACTGTTCTTTTAAATACATTACTAACTCATATATAGGAGGTGTTAAGCCTCTTGTTACTTTTTTTACCTCAACAAAACAGGTTAACTTTATTAATAGGCTAATATACATATGCCCATTTCCTTCTAAGATCAGGGCAATTGCCCTGGGAAAAGGGATTGAATACTGAGATTTGTACAGGGCAGTACTCTGATGGGTTTTCTCTGTAATAGTAATGCTTTTCTTAAATGTAAGGAGTTAATTTTGGACATGGAGATTTATATCATTGCTATGTTTCTTAAAGAAATGAGGACACAAAGGTGAACCACAGAATGGAGAAATGTTACAGTGATACAGATTCAAAAGGACATGTATTCCAATCTAGAAAATCCTAAAACCTGGAACTAGCTCAGAAAAGTCACTTTCATAGGTGAAAGGCAACTGTAAAAAATAAATAAATGAAAAAAATATTTTGGAGAAGACTTGAGTGATGTTGCTGATATTCTATGGAAGCAGTTGCGTTTCTGAACAGAAACAGAATCCTTCTGTAGCAGAGATGATATAATGGAAACTACGAGAGAGGTATTTATTAGATGCCTGAGATGATAATGGAAGGAAAGAAAGGTCTAACATGCCAAGAGAAGAAGGAGATGTACTGGGAAGACCTAGATTGCCACATCCTATGGCAGCAGCTGCTTTACTTACTTACTGGTCTTAATGAAGTTCCAGCTTGCATTAGGGATGCCTACGAAGGGCACACACAGACCTCACTGAATTTAAATTTTATTTCTTTCACTCATTCTTGTGGGAGAATTTGTGATCCAGAGATGAATTAGAAAGTCCACTCGTAGAGTTAGTGACATTATTCTGGCACGGTGAGGGTGGGAAAAGAGAAAATGCACCTTTGCGACAGTATTGTATTACAAATACCCATAATTGAAAGAAGAGTATTTGAACAATACTTTTTAGCCATGGATTTAAAGCAAAAACAAACAAAAAAAAACAACCCAAAAACTTGTCTGGGTGAAAATTTTTATTTATTTTTAACTGAGCTCACACTATAATTTTGTAAAAGAAAAAGGGAGTTAAATCATGTAATTTCAATCCGGCTTCAGATTTTTGATTTAAAAGGGCTCATAGAAAAGTACTAGCTTTGTGTGAGAAATTAAAAAAAAAAAATCCCCAAATTTCCCATGAAAATTTTTTTTTATGACCCACTGAAAACCTCCCCCCCCCCCCCCCCCCCAAAATCAGAAAATATTTTTGGTTTCAAGGTTTTCATAGGAAACAAAATAGAAAATTTCAACAATAATGAACATTTTCAGCAAAGTTTTCTTTTTGGTTGAAAAAATGTTTTGACAAAAATGTTTTGACAGTTCTGATGATTATTTACTCAGAAGATAATTCTCACTTGAACTTAAGGGGCAGAAGAAATGTAAAGTTGTCCAAGGAGCCTAAAATCTGAATTTTTCTAGTTAATAGATTTGCAGGAATATTGTGCCTTCACTTGGATGTTTTTGTCTTCCTTATTTCCTGCTTTGCTCTTGGTTCGCCTTAGGGATTTATTTTGTAGCCCTGAATAGTGGGAACAGTGAAAGAAGCACAAGTTGGTATAGAATTTACCACAGTGTCGGTGCATTTGGCTGTGTGAGATTTCTTGTGCTCACAAAAGGGAAAAGGAGTAAGATAGTGAGTGATTGTTTTTGTTCTTTGCTCCTCTTTTTAATTATGCTTCGTTATGGGAAGCAAACGTGGCTATAGGCCATTGTTTTTTTTTTTTAAAGCTGACCCTCTGCTTGAAAGTCAATGAGGAGTTTGACTTCATAAATGATGGCAGGATATATTGTTCATTTTGTGTGTCTGTCTTGCAAAAGGTCCATGGATGCAATTAGGTTTAATTGAATTTTTTAAAAAAGATTTTAAATTAAACAATTCCAATATTTTAGCTTGCACTTTCTCTCTAGTGACAAATGGATTTTTTTTTAATTAGGATTTAATTTTTCAGGGAACAAGCAGTGCTGACTTGGATCCATTATTATATTGAATCTTAAACCTTAATTTCTTTTGACTGCTTTGATGAATCAATATAAATCTTACAGTTCACAGTGGTTTAATAGTCTTCCCCCTTGTGACTTGAAATTTCTCAACATAGAGCTGGTTCAATAGACCTAAAACAATAGTGTCCTCCACTAACCTGGGAAGCATGTAAAACAGCCTTGAAAAAAATGTTTCACAGAGGGGAAAGGAGTACTTGTAGTGCATCAATACTATTCCTTACTGACCTTTGTGGTTACTGTGAATTCCCAAAATCACTTTCTAATATGAATATTTTTCTGTGATGACTGTCAGGTTGCAGGAAGTGTTTGAGGCATAGAATAGAATATGCGTCATAAAATATTTTAAATTGGAAATTGGTGAAATTGGAAAGGTGACCTCAAATGCATTGCATTAGTGCAATTACTGAATTTTGAGCCAATGTTATATTTGGAAGATTATGTAAGGGCTTGTCTACGTGATGCATTAGTCCATGCCAGAGAGATTCTAGTGTGAAACAGGATTATATCCGTGTGCACTAGAGAACTTTAAGGTGTGCCCGCAGGGTCTATGTAGGCCAATTAGTGTCATATTGGTGCACAGTAGAATTTCCACCCCTCTAGTGCAGATTAATGCACTGTGTAGACAAGTCCTCGGTAATACCTCTGTTTGCAAGTCTCTGCAGTGTAATTGCATCAGATTCATTAAAGGGAAAAGTGTATTGTTTTCCATTTTCCCAATTTTAATGAATAATTAGTGCTCTGTCTTCTTTCTATTGTGTGTGCACAGAAGGACAGCTATAGTTGACTATTCCTAAGCTCTTTTCTAAAACCCGTTTTGAGACTCTTGTAATTTTCCAATTCACCTTTTTAAGCTGAAGTTTTCCAGTGTTATTTATTTATTTTATTTTTGAAAGTATGTGCAGAAATATTTAGCTGTTTACTGAGTACAAGAAGTGTGAGGGTGGGGAAATATGCCAG